GCGAAACATGCAAAGGAATGAGGGAGGATTGGCGTGTCAGTGCGTGGTGCCTCCGAAATGAAGGCTAGTTTCAGACCCAATGACCCAACTTCAAACGAGGACCCTATCCTGAGCATCGCAGCATTGACGAAGGCCTGGGGCACTCGGACGTTAGCAGCATCGCCACCAGCCGCGCCCTATACCTGCCTCCTGCCGCTGCTTCTGCTCTGTAGACATCCTCCTCTGCCTCTTGCGCGCCCTCTCCGCCCTTGGTGTGCCCCTCGTCGCCTTCCCGCCTGTCTCCACTCCCAGCTGTCCGTCTGTTCTTCCTGCATCTGCCCACCCGCTGAGCTGCCGCAACCATGTCTTGGAAGCTCACCAAGAGTGCGTATCCCGCTCTCTTACTACCAAAGACGCCCCCTAACACGTGCTGCAGAGCTCAAGGAGACGCATCTGGCGCCCCTCGCCAACACATTCAGTCGCTCGTCGTCGACGTCGACCATAGTCGATGACCAGCCGACGCCCAAAGCCTCGAGTTCCGCCGCCAGCGCGACGACGCTCGGCAACTCCAAGGACAATGGCATTGGTACTTGGGACCCTCTGCCCACACTCACCGCCTGCTGACCGACCCCAACAGCCGCCTCAGAAGCCAACGCCTCCGCGCCGGCACAGCCCCTGCGCCCCGGTATCCTCATAGTCACGCTCCATGAGGGCCAGAAGTTCTCCCTGCCCGCCGGCGCCGAGCAGCAGTTCAGCGGCGGCAGCCACCACCAGGGCTCCATGTCCCAGGGCGGCGGCCTCTCGGTCGCGGGCTCAATGCGCCCCGGCTCGTCCTCGCACCGGCCGCAGTCTGCTGCTGGCAGCATCAATGCCGCGCCCACGATCCACGGTCGCTACTCCTCAAAACACCTGCCCTATGCCCTCGTCGATTTCGACAAGCAGCAGGTCTTCATCAACGCAGTTTCCGGTACCCCCGAGAACCCACTCTGGGCGGGCAGCAACACCCAGTACAAGTTCGATGTGTCCCGTGTCACCGACCTCACCGTCTCGCTTTACATCCGAAACCCCTCCGCCTCGCCCAACGCTGGTCGCAACGAAGACATCTTCATTGGAACACTCAAGGTCCACCCCCGATTCGAGGAGTCGCGGCAGGACAGCAAGGCCGGAAATGGAGAGGGTGGCGCTGGCCAGGCCGGTGCCGACTGGATACCAGTGCAGTTCGGTAGCGGCCAGATGAAGGTCGGCGTCAACTTTGTCGAGAACAGGCAAGACCGTCTCGCAATTGACGACTTTGAACTCCTCAAAGTAGTCGGCAAGGGCAGTTTCGGAAAGGTCATGCAGGTGCAGTATGTGCTTCTACTTTCTGTCACATTTACAACTACTCACACCGCGCAGGAAGAAAGACACGCACCGAATCTACGCCCTCAAGACCATTCGCAAGGCACACATCATTTCCCGATCCGAAGTCGCGCATACTCTCGCCGAACGGTCTGTTTTGGCCCAAATCAACAACCCCTTCATCGTTCCGTTGAAGTTCTCTTTCCAGTCGCCAGAGAAGCTGTATCTTGTTTTGGCCTTTGTCAACGGTGGAGAGCTCTTCCACCATCTGCAGAAGGAACAACGGTTCGACATCAACCGAGCTCGGTTCTATGCCGCTGAACTGCTGTGCGCTCTGGAGTGCTTGCACGGTTTCAACGTCATTTACCGTGATTTGAAGCCCGAGAACATTCTTCTCGATTACACTGGCCACATTGCCCTGTGCGATTTCGGTCTGTGCAAGCTGGACATGAAGGATGAGGACCGGACAAACAGTAAGTCGAGTCCGAATGTATTTGGGTCAGCCTACTAACACCTCCCAGCGTTCTGTGGAACACCAGAATACCTCGCTCCGGAACTCCTTACTGGCGCTGGCTACACCAAGTCTGTCGATTGGTGGACACTGGGTGTTCTCCTATACGAGATGTTGACCGGACTGCCTCCGTTCTATGATGAGAACACCAACGACATGTACCGCAAGATTCTCACCGAGCCTCTACACTTCCCTGGTCCTGAGATCGTGCCACCGGCCGCACGCGATCTCTTGACCCGCCTGCTGGACCGCAACGCTGAGAAGCGACTGGGTGCTAAGGGCGCAGCTGAGATCAAGGCGCACTACTTCTTCCACAGCATCGACTGGCGAAAGCTTCTTGAGAGGAAGTATGAGCCCAGCTTCAAGCCTAATGTGGTACGTAATGTCATCATCGTTCGAGGATCCAAATCTAACATGCCCTCAGGTTGACGCAAAGGACACTGCCAACTTCGACCGCGAGTTCACTTCCGAGGCTCCAACAGATTCATATGTCGATGGTCCCATGCTTTCGCAGACCATGCAGCAGCAATTCGCGGGATGGTCATACAACCGCCCTGTTGCTGGCCTTGGCGACGCTGGTGGCTCGGTGAAAGATCCATCATTCGAGGGTGTGACAGAAAGATAGTGCATTCCTGGGCGTAACAAATTAGGATTCGGGAAATCTCCGTTGAGTATGCGTGTGGCTTGTCACGGCGATGGAGCCGACACCAGGCACAACACCCACCGGCTTTGGATCCACAGATAGAAGCCGTGGTGATTGGTGGGATCTCAGCGCTCTTTGATGCTTTTTTGGGTTCAGGTGCAATGGCATGGCGCTTGAGGCAGCATTTGTGTGAGAGAAGCCTAAATTCAGGCAAGCAAATCAAGACGATATCCCCTTTGAGTTTGACATGCACGAATCTTAGTGATCGGCTTTGTGGTGCTTGCAAATGCTGTAGGGCTGTCGGGGTGGGACCAACGGGATGTCGTGACAGCAAGCGCGTGGGAAAAGTGGTGCCCCTCCTTCCCTCAACGAAGCTCTGACGCAAGCGGGGCCAGGTCTCGGCCGCGACATTTCTAATGACATCGGCCAAAACAACAACCTTCACCTTACTCACACCTTCTCCATCATCTCGCACTTGCAATTGATCCTACCCCTCTCCAATTGTCCAAGTTCAAACCTTTATACCCCAATACCTAATCCCGTAACACAACATGCCCGGCTTCGCACAGGCCTCTGACCTCAACGCCTGGTCGGCGCTCCAGGACCACCACCAGAAGCTTGGCAAGGACATCGTCCTGAAAGAGTACTTCAAGAAGGATCCTCAGGTAAGTCCAGAAGAAGCTATCCCAGTACATTTGCTGAAACATCGTAGCGATTCGAGAAGTTCAGCCGTACCTTCAAGAACGATGCCGAGAACTCCGAGATCCTGTTCGACTTTTCCAAGAACTTCGTCACCGAGGAGACACTGAAGCTTCTCATCGAGCTCGCAAAAGAGGCTGGCCTCGAGAAGCTTCGCGATGACATGTTCGCTGGCGAGAAGATCAACTTCACTGAGAACCGCGCCGTCTACCATGTCGCCCTTCGCAACACCTCCAACCAGGAGATGAAGGTCGATGGCCAGAGCGTCGTTGAGGACGTCAACTCTGTTCTCGACCACATGAAGGAGTTCAGCGAGCAAGTCCGCAGTGGCGAGTGGAAGGGATACACTGGCAAGAAGATCGACACCATCATCAACATCGGTATTGGTGGTTCTGACCTGTATGCAATTCCACGCAACTTGGATACGCTTTAAAAACGTGCTAACTCTTTTTAGTGGCCCCGTCATGGTCTCAGAAGCTCTCAAGGCTTACTCCCAGCGCGATCTCAAGATCCACTTCGTCTCCAACATCGACGGTACCCACATCGCAGAGGCCCTCAAGGACTCCAACCCAGAGACCTCTCTCTTCCTCATCGCCTCGAAGACCTTCACCACCGCCGAGACTGTCACAAACGCCAACACCGCAAAGTCATGGTTCTTGAAGAGCGCAAAGCAGGAGGACATTGCTAAGCACTTCGTCGCCCTCTCCACCAACGAGGAGGAGGTTACCAAGTTCGGTATTGACAAGAAGAACATGTTCGGCTTCTCTGACTGGGTTGGTGGACGTTACAGTGTCTGGAGTGCTATTGGTCTGAGTGTTGCTCTCTACATTGGCTTCGACAACTTCCACCAGCTCCTTGCTGGTGCCCATGCCATGGACAAGCACTTTAAGGAGACTCCTCTCGAGCAGAACATTCCCGTCATCGGTGGTCTTCTGAGTGTCTGGTACTCCGACTTCTTCGGTGCCCAGACCCACCTTGTCTCTCCGTAAGTTTCAAAGTTGCTATCCTGCGAAAAGGCTTAGTCTAACTCTTTTCAGGTTCGACCAGTACATGCACAGGTTCCCTGCTTACCTCCAGCAATTGTCTATGGAGTCGAACGGCAAGGCCATAACCCGCAGCGGTGACTACGTCAAGTACACTACCGGTCCCATTCTGTTCGGTGAGCCGGCTACCAACGCCCAGCACTCCTTCTACCAGCTCCTTCACCAGGGCACCAAGCTCATCCCCACCGACTTCATCCTTGCCGCCCAGAGCCACAACCCCGTTGAGGGCAACAAGCACCAGAAGATGCTTGCATCCAACTTCTTTGCCCAAGCTGAGGCCCTTATGGTCGGCAAGACTCCCGATGAGGTCAAGGCTGAGGGTGCGCCCGAGGACCTCGTCGCTCACAAGACCTTCCTGGGTAACCGACCCACCACATCCATCTTGGCCGACAAGATCACACCTGCCACTCTTGGTGCTTTGATTGTCTACTACGAGCACCTCACCTTCACCGAGGGCGCCATCTGGAACATCAACAGCTTTGACCAGTGGGGTGTCGAGCTCGGCAAGTCGTTGGCCAAGAAGATCCTGTCTGAGCTTGACGAGTCCAAGGAGTCTTCTTCTCACGATGCTAGCACAAGTGGTCTCATCAACGCCTTCAAGAAGAAGTCTACTTTGTAAGCGGATGATGTGTGACCAGGCTGTAATGGCTGAACGACTTGATGACTGGAGGATAAATTATATAGCAAGCATCTCAAGTATCTGTAGATGATACTGAGATCATGGAATACGAATGGACACATTGAAGTATATTGTCACGCCTATATATACACGTGCCACATGTCAAGCTCAGTCGACTCGCTTGCCTCCGCCTCCGTAGCCATATCCTCCCAACCCATAGCCACTGCCCATGCCGCCTCCTCGTCCGTTAGCGACAGGAAGCCCGTATCCACTACCTCCGTTTCCAAATCCTCTTCCACCTCCACCATTCATCCGATCCGTAGCATACCTCTTCAGTCGTCTCGGTAATTCCACACCACGGAAGTAAACAACGCAGACAGCCGCACTCGCCACGGCACTCAAGAAACAGTACACCAACGTACTAGTATAAATATGTCCTCCATATCCACTCCAACCCGGAGGCAGCGTCGTACTGGGATACCACCGCACACTGAACGCCAGACTCAACGGATCCCCAATCGTGATCTTGGTATTGCGCGTATGACTCGACACGGAATACGCAGTCGCCGCATCCACCGTCCCGGGTGCCACACTCTTAGGACTAGCATGAACGAGCAGATTCAAGTAATTCCCCACATGCAAATGGCTCAACTGCAGTGTCCCCGCCAGCGCAATGATAAGGGGCGTGTACATTGTACTCTGCGTCCCCAGTGCGCCCTCCTGTGTGCTTTCATCGCTGACCCGGTATTCGGTTTCTAGGACGCTGGGTGGGAGCGGTTTGGACGGGATACGGCAGGAAAGGGGCGCGTCGTTGTGGATGTAGAATTCGAGCAGGTGGAAGAATTCGTCCGTGACAAAGTCTATGGTGCAGTTTACGTCTTTCTCTACACCGAAGTTTAGGTGGAGGGGTTGGCCGGTTTCGTTGCAGGTGGGGAAGGGTATGTATTGCAGGTGGCCGGCGGCGTCGGTGATCTGGGGGGTGTGTGTTAGTTGGTTTGAACTGTTTGCGCGGGTGGCTTGGGGTGTGAAGGTAGTGGGCGTACGTGTTCACCGGTTTCTCTGGTTGGGGTTAGCAATTGTACTCGCATCTTTCTGTGGAGGTGCTGTAACTTACATGGTCCTGTTCAAACAACTGACTGGTATCATTTCCCCCGGGTTATATCCTCGTGCCTCTTCTGCGCTCTTCATGGGCTCCTGGCCGCTCAATGCGGTTGCGAAAGACGAGAACAACGCGACGACAGAGAGCCATGATGGTGACTTTCGTTGCGATATCATGGCGATTATGATATTTAGGAGGCTCGAGGAATCACTAAGCGCATGTGTAGTTGGTGCTGCGCGTAAGGCAGCTGCGACGGTCGAGGTGCATGTGTCAACTTGGACATTGTTGAGTACGGATCGAGGTCCCTGGCCTGTGCCCGCCCGCGGCAGAGACACTCCCGGTGCAACTCCGCAATCCAAGCTTCACCTGCGCGACATGGTTGTCAAGACGAAAAAGATGCAGATTTGCGTTGCCTACCGCGGCATGTGGTCTGGCTGTACAAAGCCACGTCCTGGACTTGACAACATGATGGGTGGGGTTGTTTGGATTCAGTGTGACCCTCACAGTATCGTGCAGTATGGCGTATTGCTACATCTTCAGCTTACGGAGAAAATCATGATCTCTTCGTGTCTACCAGATCGAGAAGCACTCATTGCTTCCTATGCAGATGCTGTTATAGTACAATATGTACACGTTCGATTTACACATGGTCTTCCAAACCATCCCAAAATCACAGAACCAGAGCATACAGATCTACCATCCCTTCCTCGTTAATTCCGTCACTCGGTTTGTGACGTCCTGGAAACCCTTTCGGAACCTCGCCCTCCACCGCTCAGATGCCAACCGCTTCCGCTTCAGTCCGCCTCTTTCGTGGAACTTTTGCTTGTTGAAGTCGCTCTTAACCTTGTTCCTTGCCATTAAACTTCCCAACATGCCGATGCCCCTCACAATGTCGCGTCCGCGGTTGACATCCAACTCTACAGTGCGTCCATATGCGGGGTTCAAGCGCGGGTACTGGGCAAATGTCTCCTCTTGTTGTACAGCGAGAGGTGACGCCTCGGAGGGTTTGTTGGCGAGGGTGGGATTTAGCATTCCATCGGTCGTCGCCATTTGGCTGAAATCCAGGCCTGGCCTCCTACCAGGTCGTCTGCTGCCGGAGCCCGCGAACTCCTCGCCGAAGACGCGGCTGGTTGGTGGGTTGGACCCTGCATTCCGAGGCATGCTGCCGAGGAGAGCGTCCATTGTCTGTGTAGTATTTCTTTGGGTGGTGGGCTGTGGCCGAGGTTGTGGTGCTGCGGCCTCCCGCTCAGGCATGTAGCGGGCTTGCGGCCGTTGAGCTTCCCGTTCGGGTACGTAGTGCTCGTCGTCGTTCTTCGGCAGTGGTTGTTGCGCAAGGCATCTCGGTGTGTGCGAAATCGCTCGTTGACATGTCCATGACGGTGTTGTCCGGCTCGAGGTGTGCGGTATCCGTGTGAAGTTGGAAGGGCGGAGCAGAAGCTCGCCCAACGATCGTGAGGCCATTCTGGATCTCTGCTGCTACAGTATTGACATGGGCGGGGTGATTAGACGTGCTGGCGGCGGGCAATTGCGGGATGGCTCCGGTGAATGATGGAGGTCATGCACGTCGCGGTTCCCAAATTTGTCGGCGATGTAGTGGTCCGAGCGTTCCTCGAGCTCCAAATCTCAACTGTGACTTCTTCTCTCACTGCAACACGCGACAGCGACCTCGATACCCTATCCAACCTCTCTCTTTCAATAATCCCACCAAGTTCGGCGACTGTATATCTGCGCAAGATGTACGGCTATCCTGGTATGTCGAGCGATCCTTTGCGACGCGATCTCAGCTAACATGCGCAGGTGCTCCGGGCTACAACCGCCCTCCGGGCTTCGCAGGCACTCCACCAGGCATGGCAGGCATGGCGCCGCCTGGAATGGGTATGTGATGGCAGTAACTGACAATAGCAAAGCTGACATTGCGCAGGTCCTCCAGGCGCAGCAGCTCCCCCCGGCGTAGCAGTTCCCCCCGGTGTCGCGAACGCCCAAGGTCCGCCAGCGATGAATGCACCACGCGCTCTGCCATCCGGATGGGCACCGCCCACCAACATGCCCACCTTCAACTTCAATGCGCCCGTCATCCGTCTGGGAACACAGGGCGGACGACCTGGCGCTGTCGACAGCCCTGTAGGCGGCCGAAGAGACAACGCCGCACCACCCGGTCGCCGTGGCCTTGGCATGGACAGAGATGGCGATCGCAGGGACGCCGTCCAGCCCGTCAACCCCCCGTCGCGCGAAGACATCGCGCGAACCATTTTCGTCGGCAACATTCCCGATGGCGTTGGAGGCGATGAGGGCATGGAGCGCATCCTCGAGACGGCAGGAAAGCTTGTTCGGTGGACGAGAGCTACCGACGCCAACAACAAGCCCCAGACGTTTGGCTTCGCCGAATTTGGAGACGCCCAGAGCTTGGAGACAGCCGCCGAGATATTCAAAGACGTGCGTGTGCCTACGAAGCGTCAGAAGGCCGGCAAGCCGAAAACCGACGACGGCGAACAAGAGGAGGTGGAGACGACCAAGTTGCACGTCATGGTGGATGATGCTTCGATCAAGTACGCAGAGGAATGGAGCAAGACCCGAAACGAAGACGAGGCCACGGTTCAATTCAGGCTCGACAGTGCCAAAGAAGCACTCTCCTCGGTCCTCGCGAGCTTTTTCAACCCGCCGAACGCACCCAACGTCGACTACGCAGGAGATACCATGATGCAAGATGCACAGGCACAAGACGGTGAAGACGTGGAAGTTGCATTCGTCAACCTTGCAAATGGCGAGGATGAGCTTGCGGACATCCCTGCAGAGATGCGCGAGATTGTCGCCGCAGAAATTGCTGCCTTCCGCGACCGTTCCAACCAACGCGATCGCGAACGACTCCTGAAAGAAGAGGAGCTTGAAGCCGAGGAGCGCAGGCGTAGTGGTAGACGTGCATCCCCACCACCATCCGCCCCTACTGGACCCGGAGGTGCCAATGGTGTACCGCTGGGCCCCAGAGCAGAACGGGGTGTTCAAGGTGCACCCAGTGGGCCCAAGGGCTCACAGTTTCCCCGAGACTACCAAGGTGGTGTCAACTTTGTCAATGGCGGTGCCGTACATAACGGCGCATACATCAACCGCGAGGACGACGATGACTCCGCCAGCGACTCGGAACTCGAGCGTCGTCGCAAGAAGAAGCGAGCAGAAGAGGCTGATGAGGCATACAAGAAGCAACTCTCCCGCTGGCTCCAGACCGAGCGTCGTACTTTCGCTTCCGTCGAGCGTACAAACGACTACTTCAAGAACATGGACGCGGAGCGCGAGAAAGCTCGTGCAGCACAAGCAAAGCAACTTCGAGAATTTGACGATGATCAAGAGGCAGCTTCGAGACGCGATCTCTACTACCGCGATCACAGCGACTGGATCCGCGACCGCGAGTCAGTCCGTGGTCAGGAGGCAAAGGAAGACGCGATCGATCGCGAACAAGAACGGCGCGAGTTGGCCTCGCAGAGGAAGCAGAAGGACCATGCCCGCGGCCAGGCCGATGCCTTCTTGGAGGAGCAAGGCGAAGAGCTTATGCGCAGGGAGGAACAGCGCGAGCCAGCTCATTTCAAGATCTCGCTCGGGGCCGCCGCCAAGAAGCTCGAAAAGACTGCCGCTCCCCGTCGAACCGCCGCCGATGTCGAGAATCTGCTCGAGGACGAGGACCTCACAGATCAATCCGGTGCCAAGAAGCGAACTCTCGTGCCTATCAACTTCGATGCGGCTGTACGTGCCAACCTTACGCAAGAAGAAATCGAAGAAGCCCAGCGACAGTTGGCGCGCGACATTCCCAACGACAAGGAAGGCCTGTGGAAATGGCCCGTCGCTTGGGAGCATTTGCCCCAGAAAAACATCGACAAGGATATCAAGCAGTGGGCTGCCAACAAGGTTCTTGAGCTCACTGGTGTACAAGAAGAGATGCTTGTTGACGCTATCGTGGACCATTTGAAGAGCAAGGGCGCACCGCAGCCCCTGGTGGAGAACTTGGAAGTGGCTCTCGATGACGAAGCTGAGTCCCTCGTGAAGAAGCTCTGGCGTATGGTCATCTACTACAGTGAAACCGAGAAGAGGGGTATCAAGTGAGGACGATGCTTTTTGCTCATGTGGAACAGCAATCCAACTTCGACAGTGCCTTTCGGATTAATCACCGAAACGGCTCTTGCATTCCTCATAAACCGGGCGAGTGAGTATTTGGGAGGTCTTGGTCTTGTTTGGGTAGTATTGACGCGCTGTAGGGTCCTCGGATCTTGCATCACGAAACGACGTGTAGATAATGGGTGTATGGTTGGAATGGAGAGTCATACCAGGTCCGTCCTTTTACTTTCGATTGTCACACCACTAATACACAGGCGTTCTTCTTTTACCGTTGTTCAAATTTGGATGATGCTTCGCTGTAGTTTTATGGGGCGTAAGTATTATGCGTGCTCTTTTTGCTTTGCTGATGTTCAGCATTGAGAGTCTACCTTGATGGTACTCATGATCCTCGGGTTGGACTACTCCTTAAACCCACTCATGCCACCCCGCGGCCGGTAAGTCTTGTTTGCCGCGGTATTTGATCACACATCACTATCGTAAAGAAGTCGTTGGAGTAGGTCAGGAACAAGCTTCATACTGAACTACTTGCCCGTGTCATCACGGCGGCTTTCCAAGTAGTTTCTCCTCGCACACTGCTAGGCGTTGTCACGCGTCGTCAAGCCCAAGCTTCTCGCCTAGCCGCGAAGCACCTGGAGCCGCGTTCTGGGCAAGGGACCCCTATAGTTCGTGGGGTGTAGCACTGTACAGCTCACGTGTGAGGTAAATAAAATGCCGGCAACGTTGCCAAATGCCCCGATTTTTCCAGCCCCAGAAAGTGGCGCGCCGAGATCTTCCACGAATGATGAGGGGCAAGTGGGGTGGAATTCACGATGGCGCGGGCGGTTGGCACTATTTGGCGTGGAGATGCGTGGAGTGTTGTGCCGGACGCCTTGCCAGTTAAATAGACCGTCTAGATCCTGCCTCCGGAGGGAATAAGTATCTCGCTCAACCATTTCACCTTGACCTCTTCATTCATCTTCATCTTTCTTGGTGTTCAAGTTTTGCTTGAAAAGAATCTCAACTTCTGGTAGCTTTGCGGGGTATTCCGATCATTCCGAACATCGGTAGCAACACAACGAAAACATCACAATGGCCATTACAATCACAGGTGCTGAGACGAGGGATGTGCGGTTTCCGGTATGCTCCCTGGTCATTCAAGCTATACAATAGAGAAAGAGGAATCTAACGCGTCTGCAATAGACATCCCTTGACAAGACTGGTTCCGATGCTATGAACGCAGCGGGAGACTACTCTTCAGCTTACTGTATCCTACACACAGACTCTGAGTTCAAGGGTCATGGTATGGTAAGTCTAATCTCATTCGATGTTGGCCATGAGTAGAAGAGATGAGCTACTTTGGCGACTCCGCCCTGATCATCTCAGCTCTTCCCCCAACTCATGGGTACCCCTGAACCGGCCAACTTGTGGCCACTTGGCAACTGAATCCATTCGTTTCCTGATTGCTTATAATTTGCAGACCTTCACAATTGGCCGCGGTAACGAGATTGTATGCACCGCCATCGCCTACCTTGCCGACCGCATCAAGGGCCACACACTCGACTCACTAGTTGCCAACTGGGGAAAGACATGGCGTCACCTGGTAAACGACTCTCAGCTCCGGTGGATTGGGCCAGAGAAGGGTGTTATCCACCTCGCTCTCGGTGCCGTCGTAAACGCCATCTGGGATCTCTGGGCCAAATCGCTCGGCCAACCTGTATGGCGCATCGTTGCAGACATGACACCCCAGCAAATAGTCGACTTGATCGATTTCCGCTACATCACCGATGCCATCACCCCCGAGGAGGCGCTGGAGATCTTGACCAAAGCCGAAGCCGGTAAGAAGGAGCGACTCCAAGAAGCCCTTGATAGCCGCGCTGTCCCCGCATACACTACTTCTGCGGGATGGCTCGGTTACGGTGAAGACAAGATGCGTGGTCTTCTGAAGGAGACACTGTCAAAGGGATACAAGCACTTCAAGCTCAAGGTCGGCAGCGATATTGCGCAAGACAAGCAGCGTCTCAGCATCGCACGAGAGATCATTGGTTTCGACAAGGGTAATGTGCTCATGGTAGATGCGAACCAAGTCTGGAGTGTACCGGAGGCGATTGAGTACATGAAGGCGTTGAAGGAGTTCAAGCCGTGGTTTATCGAGGAGCCCACCAGCCCTGATGACGGTACGTACCCCTTTCCTTCCTTCTATGCTATAGAGAAACGCATACTGACTTTAACAGTCCTCGGCCACAAAGCAATTCGCGAAGCCCTAAAGCCATACAACATCGGCGTCGCAACAGGAGAAATGTGCCAAAACCGCGTCATGTTCAAGCAATTCCTCGCCTCGGGCGCCATTGACATTTGCCAAATCGACGCCTGCCGTCTCGGCGGTGTCAACGAAGTTATCGCCGTGCTCCTCATGGCCGCCAAGTTCAACATCCCCATCGTACCGCACTCGGGTGGTGTCGGTCTGCCAGAGTACACACAGCATCTTTCCACCATCGATTACGTTGTCGTGTCGGGGAAGAAGTCGGTGTTGGAGTACGTTGACCATCTGCATGAGCACTTTTTCCACCCGTCCAGGATCGAGAATGGTTACTATGTTACTCCTATGGACCCTGGTTACTCGGTTGAGATGAAGCCTGAGAGTATGGATCGGTTTAGCTTCCCTGGTGGTAAGGATGGGTGGTGGCAGAGTGAAGAGGCGAAGCCAATTTTGGAGGGTATTAAGATCTAAGGATGTATTTTGGTAATCTCGAATGAAAGAATCGTATTTGAACGAGCAGATGCCTTGTGCTAAGCGCGGATATCCTTCTGTTCATAATACATCGCGTTCACCCTCTCCGAGATTACCTGTAATCACACCCCCTCAAGAAAGATACTCCTCCTACCCTCGATGCATTCCTCCAATCCCCCATCACGTAGCGGTAAGATGTGTCTGCGAAAGAACTTATGTTCTACCATACACCTCCTAAGTTTTTGCTCATCAAACGCTTCCTCTTTGGTAAGGAACAACCGAAAATTGCGACATTGGCTCAGCCGAACAGCTAGAGTCTTGCAATGGTCGTTGACAACACGCAGATGGTTGCCAAAAGGTACGCAGGTCCCATTTCCATAGAAGACTGAGGGAAGTCGACGTTGAAAAAGCGCTGCCTCATGATACATAAGACACAATGGTCCATATGCCAATAAACGGAATCGGACATGCACCCTGGGATTTTCGATGCAGTAGTCGGCCAGGAGATTTAGCTTATGGCAGGGGTCGGCTAACGTAATGCGCAACTCATCGAAGTGCCCTTTCACGATGAGGCCTCCGACATCCACTCGTTCATCTTTGGAGCGAACTAATGGTCGAATTTCCACAGTTTTGACTTGAGAAGTCCAAGACTTGTCGCATTGGCGCACGAAGCGGATGAACTGATGGGTAGCGTTTTGAGCGCATACGTTGTCTTGGGCGAATACGATATCGTTGTATAACAGTGACAAGTGCTTGGTCTCTTTGTAGAGTTGCTTGCACACGTACTTCAGCTGGTTGAACTCGGATGTAGATTCTGCGGTAGAACACAGCTTTACGCCCTGCGCGGACTCATGTTCGTAATACGCATCCACACATTCTTGGGGTGTTGCGTGCCAGATATCGTCTATACTGTTGACCTCTTCGGTCACTGCCTGGGGTATGGTGTCGAAGTCGATCGAATCGCGATAGAAGAGCTCGTGATGGTTGGCGGTGAGTGCGTATTCGTAGATCGTGTTGCGTATCTCGCCTGGCAATTGGAGGAGGCGATTGGTGCCGTCCTGGGTAGGAGCTGACTTGCTGTACCCACTGGTCATCGAGTCGGAGTCTCCTCGCGCGATTCTGCTAACCGCGCGACCTATCTCGATATATTCCCTAGTTTCAGAGTTTAGGCGGGCAGGAGGGGCAGTGGTAGGTGATGGTGTTTTGGCGGCAAAGAATACAATTATACCCATGCGAAAGGGCAGCCTTGGAACCCATACGTTTAGACTTGGTCAGATGGCAACGAGAAAACTCTTTAATCCACATGTCGAAGGAGCCCAGACCAGTTTCGTACTTGTTGTGGGGATATCATTAGGCGACCCAAGGTAAGTCAATTTGTTTGTAATTATTACGGAATGTGCGTCGCTTCCCATGAACTAAATTCTCAGAAATATCCTAGCGATTAGGAGTTATCAGCCACAGGTTCGCATCTCCAACGTTGCTTGCCAGTAGTATGCAGCTCTGTGTGGCGTCTCTAATGATCACTTAAAGTAGCTTCTCGACTCTTCCTTACGATATCTTTCAACTGTGCCATCATTGCCATATCTGTGGAGTTTTGCTGGCTCTCCGTCCTTGGGTCCTTCCAAAGCAGATCAAACTTAATCTCTTTCTGTTCGTTGATACGTCTTACAAAGACTACAACAGGTTCATGTATAAGAGCCGCGGTATCCCACTTGTGAGTCTGAATCTTGAATATAACGTGCTGCACGTTCAATGTGACCCCTGGAGTCTCTTCCAATCCCCTGAAGGTAAAGATGCATGCGTCTAGCAGGCGATGTCGAAGTTCGGGATCGGCTATACTGGCGTCTTTGGCGATTGCGGCAGGGACATTGACGGTAACGTAAGGTAGATGTAGGCTCAGTAATTCGCGGAACGAGGCGAAGACGTCGTCGAAGTATATGCGTGGTTCATTTGCGTCGGCAGGTAGCGAGCGTGTATCGCGCATTCCGAGACGGACTTTCACGTTATGAAGGTGGGAGTGCGTCTGGATCTGGGGCGTGCCGATGACCGTATCTATCTCAGTAGTGGAAAAAGCGACTTGAACCATATCGATGCTCTTCTGTACTGCGCCGTTCATGACTAACTGGCTCTCGGCGACTATCATGCTGGAAAACTCTTGACGGATCTGCTTGCAAGCGCTAAGAAGACCGGTAACGTCTCGCAGGCTGGTAACATCCGGCAGGAGATACTGATAGACTTCGTTTCGAATCTCTGCAGGCATCAATAAGAACGATGAACTCTGCCCTTGTGTAGGTACGAGAACAGGGGTAGGAACATCCATAGTACGTGATATGTCGATGCTTCGGGCGTTGCGAACATCCTGATGAAGCCTTTGTGCGAGTTCGTCGTGTAATCGTCCTCTGTGCTTCTTCGATACGGCCATGAGTATTTTCTGGAGCCTGTTCTTAGGTTTGGCAATCGTGACTGTCGTTGCATTCGCCAAGTCAGGAGCTTGTTGATCGTGTCGCATGAGTCCTTTTCTGCTGATATGGGTTTCGCGGGGGCGGGGGACATTAATGACTTTTCGTAGACGATATCTTGCCCGCTTGAGAAGAGATTCTTTCATTGGAATAGACATATGCAATCAGCCTGGACACTAGGATCTGCCTATGCTAGGGTTGAGTCAAGTAGAGCAAGAAGATCGGTCGTAATGCTGCCCTGAATAGTCGAATATGCCGACAGAAATTTCTTCTCATCGTTATCGAAGATGGCTGTATTCATGACGGTGATCGAGCCGAGAAACATGCTGTTGTTTCATAGGTCTCCGATTGGCAGCAGCGGCCCAGTCTACCACTGAAAGCAGTGGGGCCAACCTAGGAAGGGGAGGTGATGGGTGGACCGGCCACTCCCAAGGCGTTCTTATAGTGGTACATCTCCAAATGTATTCGGTGGTCCTCACGAGAAAGGTCGCTATCTGAAGGCCGTTATTGGAAGAGTGGAGATTGGCAGAAGATGAGGCTCAACAAATGCGAGTGTCGGGATAGTCGGAACGTTCCGCGCAGCGGCTATTGAAGGCCCATGGCATGACTCCGATGGTGCATGGCCACCTCGTATCCTCTCAACTCAGATCTCATATATTACTACCTATGTGCTGCTGAACATTGAAATAAGTATTGATTACAGAAACGCTCGCAGGTTTCCATTGCCGGATTTACTACCCCACCTGCACCCCGCCTCCCCGCTTTGATCACCAAGGTCGACCCAGAAAGCATACCCTCCCCGGAAGCTATTATCAACAATTACAGTCGCTATGGCTCCTCCTCCAGCTCCGGGCGTATGGTGCCCCGCAGTAACCTTCTACACTCCCGAAAGCGACACGGCAACCTTGGATCTCGCCGCACAGAAACAGTATTTCCAATACCTCTCCAAATCGGGTCTTACTGGTTTAGTCGTTCTTGGCTCTAACGCTGAGGCATTTCTCCTCACTCGCGATGAGAAGAGAGCGTTGATGAAATGTGCTCGTGAGGCCGTCGGCCCCGACTACCCTCTGATGGTCGGCATCTCAGGCTTCTCTGTACCTCAAGTCATGGAGAACATTAGCGACGCAATTGAGGCTGGAGCCAATTATGGACTTTTGCTACCAGCGGCGTACTATGGGCCAGCAGCTTCTAAAGAAGTTGTCATGGCTTTCTACGATGAGGTTGCGCAGAAATCCGAGTTGCCTATCGTCATCTACAACTTCCCGGGTATCTGCAATGGGGTGGACCTTGATTCTGTCACGATCGCCGCGCTCGCAAAACGGAACCCTGGCAAGATTGTCGGCGTAAAGTTGACGTGTGGCAGCGTCGCGAAGATAACCAGGCTATGTGCTGAGCTGCCAAGCGATACCTTCTCTACGTATGCAGGCCAAGCGGATTGGTTGGTTGCTGGCCTCGCAGTTGGAAGTGCAGGATGTGTGTCAGCATTCAGTAACGTCTTCCCGAAGGTCTGCTCAAAGGTCTACGAGTGGTATACTACTGGGAAGACTCAAGAAGCCTTGGAGCTTCACCGCAAGGCGGCGCTCGCGGAGAGCCCGATCAAGGCTGGAATCGCTCCCACGAAGCATGCTGTTAGTCAATACAGTGCGAAAGCTGCTGGCATCGAGGGCGCCGAGGGGAAGCTCAACCCAAGGCGACCGTACTTGCCAGTTGGCGACGCAATCAAGACGAGCGTAAAGAGTGCCATGGAAGAGCTTGCTACGATAGAGAGCATCTTGTAGAAGAGGCTGAAGGATGATAGGGTTCCCGGGTTAGTTCAGATAGAGGTAATCGCATCTCGCGGCGTGGCAAGCGTAGCATCGACATCATCAGTCTTTGAAAATCAGATACACGATGGACAGGCCTCTTTCTTCGACGTATTCTGGTTCCTGCCGTGATGCTATGAGCCGTGAGAGATGAGGACTAGTAAGCGTGCAGACCCTTGACTTAGCGGCGCACGTGCCTTATCGATAACCAACATTCACGTCTCGAACTTTTTCCTACTCTACCAAACACGACGAAATGGCGCCGCAAAGAGGAGCAAGCGGTATCGAAAAGAAGAAGCGGTCGAAAAAGAGGAGGACGAGAACTGAAGGTAAAAGGAGCGCTGTTGAACAGACCGCGAGGTATACGCTAACAACTGGACAGTCTCATCATCGAGCGAAAGTGACAGCGATGTCTCCAGTGTAAAGAGTCAAAAGGTGGCCGCGGTAGAAGAAGAAACAAAGGTATGAGTGTCGCGTTGAACAGGTCTGATCTGATCTGACTCGAAGAAGGATGTTTCGCCAGCGCCAGCACCAGCACCCACTAAGAAAGAGAAGAAGAAGAAGAAGTCCAAGACAGGCAGTGCTCCAGAGGCTCAGCCAGATCAAGATGTCGCTATGACGGATGTACCAGCTTCTCCGCCACCAAAACAGGCAGCGTCAAAGGCTAGTCAACAGGCGCAAGACGAATTCGGCGCCCTCTATCTGCGCAAAATCGCGGCTGAGTTCGCTGACGATCTCGACAAAGTGCGTGAAGCACCAGACTTCAAGGCGAGCAGTGTGCCGATGCTCATTCATGCGCTCAAACAAGGCGAAAGTCTTTACAGTGTAGAGGAGAGAAAGAGGGTCGTAGGCGCGGCGAACGCGTAGAGAGCAAGGGTAGCATGGGTGGCGTTTGGCGTCTGGAAATATTTTTGCGCAAAGATTATCATAATGCAAACGTCCGTATATTTTAGAAGGGTGTCCGAACTCGGTCCCATTCATGTGCCAAATTCCCCCCAAAACGGTCATCGAACAGCCAAACGCCTTGCTATGCAGAATCTCGTGAAATCGTCTAGTATGCCTCGACCTCCATACCGCTCCGCCACTCCAACTCGATTGTCCAAGCCAGGAGGTTCGGGTGCTTGATCACAACCATGTCATGGGCCAGCTTCATGACTTTCTCCCTCTTCTCCGCCTTTTCTCCCGATGGCAGCACCATCAAGGTATCGTACGCTCTAGCCAGCAGCTTCTCCTCGTATTCCCGTCTTAGCTCGTCATCGCCCGTCCAGTTGATGATCTCCTCGTATATCCCTTCTAGCGGGCTAGTAGCGTATATCTCGTTCTTAACAGAGGCTGTGGTACCCTCCAGTGTCGCGCCGATGCGAAGTCGTCTCTCTTCTATGAGCCGCTTGATTGTGGAAGCCTCCTGTGTCTCGTGGATCTCGGCGATGCGCGTGTACGTTTTTGACGGGTCTGGCAGCCGACCTTCGAGGTAAGAGTATACGGGAGAGGACGGCAGCTGGGTACTGAGTGCGCGTGCATATTGAGTCTTGGTGCCATGGGCACGGGCGTGATCTACGAGCTTATCGATGGCAGATTGGGACTTGTGCGCGTCGTCCCTGTTCTTGTTAGCATTTTTGCCTCTCCACCTGTATAGACAAAACATACAAATTCATATATATCTGCGCTAGTTCCAGTCCGACGTCAATGTTCTCATCAACCTTCGCGCCCTTGAGACCTTCGTACATGCCCCTTAGCCCGAGCCATGCCTGTGGATCTTCAGGCTTGAGCTTGGTCGCGTCATAGTAGGCTTTCGCCGCTTCGTCGAATCTGCTCAGGCCGTCGTTGGCGCGTCCGAGGAACAGGTAGGCGAAGTAGTTTTGGGGCTCCTTCTCCAACACTGCTGTCGCTTGGTTCTTTGCTTCCTCCCAATCCTTTGCGCCAATCGCCGCCTTCGCAGCCTTCAGCGCCGTTTTTGTAGACATGTCGTTGATTTGGGTAGCGATAGTTTGGGGAGTAGCCGTCCGTACGGCGCTATTTGTGTTATGAAGGTGCCATGAGGAGTGAATTGGAGCTTTGGTGTGGGGCTCGCAGCGTCGAAAGAGCAGGCAATGACGCACGGCATGCTAGCGTCGATCCTGGGCTTCATTCAGCCTTACCAAAACACGAACATCAACGTCAACCACTCTGTAATCTACTTGTCACTACCCTTCACAATAAAACCGTTCGAACATCTCTGACATTTCGAACCCCTCTCATTACAGTATCTGTCGGCGTTCTGCATTGCATTGGCTGGGTTCAAAAGTTCGGATTGCTGTCATGGCGTCACACGCGGACAGTGCGCACGACCTGCTGGACCTCGACATATCGACATTGCGGCAATTTGTCGAGCTGTTCCCCAACGAAGGACTATCAAAAGTTATCACAGGCTGGTTGAGCAGCGGTATATCAAGATACCCGCTTGTAGAAGAAGGCGACTCAAGAGAAGGACCTGACCTGAGCGAGGGTGGGGTAGCTCTTACCCAAGATGTCCCAGTCTCACAGGAGGACTGTCTGGTGTTGATGACTGAAGGAATTACCGAGGCTGGAAGATCGCCACTTGCACATTGCTTGCTCGGAGACTACTACCTGTCCTTGGAGGAGTACGAAAGCGCGGTCGAGAGCACAAGGAAAGGCTTGAAATATGCTGCTGCGGAGGCTAAGAAGACCGACTTATCACTTCAGAGAACTCGCGACGCTTTGAGTAGTACGCTTGCTACTGCTTTAGTCTACTACCAGGCCCCAAGAAATCATCTGGAAGCCAAGGGTATCTTCGAATCCATCTTGAAACGCAAGCCACAGTTCACCTCTGCTCTCATCGGCATCGGGTTGGTCCTAGAAGAAGAGGAGGAATATGAGCAAGCCTTCCAATTCCTTGAGAAGGCGCTAAAGCAAGATCCCTCGAATGGTCGCATAGGTGCAGAATCAGCCTGGTGTCAAGCACTTGCCGGTGACTACAAGGCCGGTCTTGAAAGGCTCCAAGAGTACCTCGATTACCCGCAGCTCGATGCCTCCAAGCAACGTGGCCGCGAGCTCCGCGCACAGACACTTTATAGAATAGGTGTATGTATATGGGAGCTCGATCCGTCAAAGCAGGCGAGGAAGGACCGCCAAGGAACGTATGCGAAGCTGCTCGCGGCGAT